AGCTGCACAGATAGGCAGAAATAATGAACATTAACAAGAACTGATCTAAGTTTCAGAGCTTCTCATCAGGTTTAGAGTCATAAAGAAAGAAAAACATCATATTTTCAAGTGGAGAACAGTTCTTAGTTTTCTTTTGATCTAAGTAGTCCAGACTGGTCTGTAATACCATGAACTGCAGGAAGCAATCAAGCAGACATAAGTCACACCACTGACACTATTAGCTGAAGTCTGAACTCAAAAACTTAACTGGTGACCTTATTTTAATGCTAAGGTACTTGAGAAAGACTCAGGGAGAAATCCTTCAGAAAATAGGGCCAAAATTCACAAATCAAAATCTTTAAGTAAAAATGCATTTAAAAAAAAGAGGCCTTGCCCTTACTTAAATGCATCATGGGGAATGGTGGTGCATGGGGAAAAAGAATTAAGATCCAGAGTGCGGGCTGTGCAGGACTCTGGGCTCTGAAATGCTTTGCAATGGCTCAGCCCCTGGATCAGTTATCCACACGTAACACTATATGTCCAGCCTCTCAGCCACTCTACTATCCATTGAAATCATATCTGCTTAAGATGCAAACACATACTGCTGCTATACTATAGGCAAGTTCACAGGAAAAAGTTCTTGAAATAGCAAGATGCCAAAAATACATCTGCAAAGGAATTCTATTTTATAGTTACTAATCAGAGTAACCAAACTCTTCTCCACAGAAAATTTTTAAATGAAACAGGAGTTAACAGAGACTGCTGTTGATTGTTTTAAGCCATGATAGAGCAATTTTTTTTGTGAATTTTAATTACTTTTCAGTGCAGCAATTTCCTTCTATGGTAACATGTCAGCCTTGGAGATGTATGTTTTCTTTGAACTAATCTGATGTTAAGAGGACATACTTTCCAGAAGTAAGGCGTTTCACTTTTCAACGTGGAGATATCTGGTAAAAGGCTAGTCCATTCTCACTGTTTCATTCATGCCATGGCTTGTTTCAGAATTTCTTCAGACATCTGTGTGGATGCTGCCATTCAGTGCTATTGTTCCTCCCTACAGAAGCTATCACCACTTGAAAGAAGCTTTCTCATGCACATTCATGGAGCATATTGTAACAAAACTGAGGCATCAAAGGGAAAAGAATTAGCTGTAACTTGCATCGCTGTTCTCCTTAACTTCTCAGTCATCCAGGCAAACCCAACTTCCCTAGTATCACTGAGGCACCGGCATCTGTCCTTGCTTTCCTAAAACAAGCTTCTTTTACTCTCTTTTTAAACTACGATGGTCAGTGTTTTTTCCTGGGTCTGGAGAAAAATCAATCATTCAGTAGAATCCCTGACACCTTTAGGGTCAAAGATCAGAAAGTTTTCTCTTAACGTTCCTCAGCTATACATACCTTGAGCTATTCTTTCACCATTCATACTTTCTCCAGAAGACTTTCTCAATTTCTCCCAACTAATGCATTCTCCAAACAGCACAGTCATCAAGTCAATGGGTTTTCATCAATCATTAGAGGTTTACAAATAAGGAGAAACAAAGACATAGCCTCCATAACCCAAATGAGATTTGCAAAGAAGGCATCTACTTTACCAAATCAATCAAAAAATGATCCTTTGTGGTCTGCTTAGATGGCAGAGTTTCCCTTTGCACTGTCACCATGAAAAAATATCAGCAGTGAACAACTACTGCAGGAATGTGAGCAGAAGACAACTTGGAGAGTTACTGTTCACTCAGGCAGTGGGAGTGCTTTGACACTTTGCTATGGACCAGTACAAACCTGCCTAAGATGAGCCCAGTCCAGCCAATATGCTGGAGCGGGTCTGATTATTTGCTCAGTGTTAAGGATAGACTGAAGGCTGCATTCATTCCATCAATTCTTTGGAAAAAAAAACCCAAACAGGTGTTCTCAGTATGCACTCTGGGAACTGAGGTCAATGAAAAATGTTTAAAAGCTACCCAAAACTGTAGTCATGCCTGTGATTGCCAGTAAACATACATAGAAATAGGCAAAGGTGGTCTAAACAAATTCATGTGTATTTGTGTAACTACATTTAAAAAAGAAGGGCAAGTAATCCTAGTAAAAATGGCTGTTTCAACCTCTTGCAAATACATAATTGCAGAAACAAATTTTAAATACCCATTCACTGTTAAGGCAAGAAATGAAGCAATAAACTGGCTTTTCTACCTAGTTCTGTAACTATCTTGCCTAGCAGAAGGTTGCTCTTCTGAACAACCTTGGCAAGTTACTTTTGCTCAGGCTACCCTTTAAATAAAATGAAATTAATCTTTATAATTACATACTTCAAAACCAAGGACACTGAGCTTTGTACTGTGCTGTGAACACCAGGCTTTAAAAAGCAGTGCTAAGGCAATTGGTAGGCACTTTCAGGCCCTCAATGACTTTAGCACTATTCATGAAACCAGTGAATATTTAATATACAGATGCATACGCACAGAAGCAGTATTATATACACACAGCCCAGACTGTTAGGGTTCATTAAATCCCATTCCAGGATACTTCACTGATGCCAGCTATCAGCCTGATGGGCAGAGCCACACTTCTGGCTATTTTTTCCTCCTTCCTGGCCACTTTCCACATTCTCTAGGAGAGCATCTGCCCCAAGATGCCTGTGCTCTCATCAGATCTGGGGGCTGCATTTGCAGTTGACCTTTCTACAGCTGCCAAACAGACAGGAATCCTTATTCCTTCCTCCTCCTCCTCTGCACAACTGTTTGAGGCTAGTCCTGAATAGCTCTAAATCATTTGATTGTAAGAGCTGGTCCCAAACCTGCTGAGTCAGGAGAATGCTTTCCTGGTAATATTCAGACACCTGTCGGAGGCCATTCCTTCCACAGTCATCGTGGTCTTTGCTGGCAAACCCGCTGGTGCCCTGACTCCAGCACTAAAGAATTTTGCCTTGCCCTGGAGCTGATGCAAACCTGAATGCAAGTTCACAGGTGGAAGACCGCCTTCTGTGCTGCTACCAACACCCACCTGGGGTAACTCCTGCCCTGGCTGCTGCAGGGCAGAGGGCTCCTGCTCACAGAGAGCACCTACCCAGCACCCAGGCTAAGTCTGTCTTTCTTCTATCACTGCATGCACTCACCTCTATATTTCCTGTGCACTTTGTACGGGGTCTCACTGGGTATCACAACTTTGCAGCCTGGTGTCTGAGAGCTGAAAAAAAGACCAAGTGTCACAAAATGAAACTCTGACTTCTGCCTTGCAGGCTGCAAGTGCCTGGGGGGTCTGTAGGCTATTTGAGGGGTTTACAGGGCCTTAAGGCTTTTCACATGTGTTTAAATTGGGCTTAAATACCATTCACAGATGGCTACACTGTGAATGTGAACAGAAAGTGAGTATGGATGTGTAAATAGAAAAAGACAGAAAACCACTAGCTGAAAAGTAACTATTTTCGGTGCATTAAATCACAACACCTGACCCACTCCCTAGTTTGATTTACGGTACAGAAGAGGTGGTGGAGCCAGCAGCAACTATCCTTTAGTTAACAGTACTACCTTTCAAGCCCTTGTGAGTTGGGAGTGAGCTTCCACTGCTCTCTGGAGGAGAGCATGGTATGAGTGTGAACTGTTCCCAAAGGATGGTCCCATCTCAAAAAAGTCCTGCCTTGCTCCCCACTCCCTCCCAAAACATCTGTGTGCTCTGCCCTGGGAATCTGACCTGCTGCAAATCTGCACGGCATAGCAACAACTACTTTTAGTGAGAACAGGCTGCTCAAGGATGGCCAACACAAAGGAAGCAATGGAATTCTAAAGCCAGTGTGCTTGGCAAGGCTGGACCACCTTTTGTGTGCCAGCTGGCACTGCCAATTGTGGGAAAGAAGCCTGAGAGTATCAGCAAGAAAGCCATTCCCTGTAAGCAACTTACCAAATACACAGGGCAGCTCAAAGAGCATCAGCCTCCCAAGCAGTCTTCTCTGCTCCTCCCCAATGCAGAGAATTCAAATTATTTAGGAATGGGCTGCCAATCTCTTCAGAACAGAGCTGGAAGACAGTGCCTGTCCCAGCAGCTCCCTGCCACCTCCCCCCAAACACAGGCAGGGAATGGGATCAGGTGAGCATCCCTAAACCTAACCCACTGCTGATTCATTCCAGTTAGCTCGGATCACTTTGCACTGGCCTCATTTTGCATTAATCAGCTGCCATGGCCAGAATAAAAGCTGAATTATTACTATTACTTTAATGTCTACAGTTGCAGACAGGCAGAAATTTGTGTGACTTAATTTATATGCTTAATTTTGTGTCTTTTTATGTGCATGTGAAGAAATTTTGACAAGTTCATAAGCATTGCAGACATCAGGTCCCTGATGGTGTTCTCAAGTCTCTCTCCTCTCTGAAAAGAGCTGGTATTTAATTGTAATACCCAGACCACAGCAGAGCAGTGTCTCTACTTGGAATTACTTTGTCTGCAGAGTAGCCTTACTGAAGGCAAAAGAGACAAGCTCCAGGAACCTGTGGGCTCTGTATGCTCTCCTGTGGACTTTATGTCCAGTTCAAGCTAGAAGATAGCCAATCACCTCTTAGCTGTTTCTTATGACACAAATGGTTGGTACAGCAAATTTCACATTAATAGATAATTTCAGCACAACTTTCAAAAAGAACGATGTGATAAAACTTTTCTCAGAGGAGGAAAAAGTTTTAGGCACGTTACAAGAAATCCATCCCTGGTTGCCTGATGTCCTGCAAGGTATTTCTTTAGCAAAATCATCAGAAAATGCTTAGGTAGTATTGAAGGAGGGGGGCTGAATGCCGTTCCCCACCGAGTCACAAGATCAAAGAACGTTAACAGCTGAGGGTTGCAAGGCACGATGAGATCTTACTTCCAAGCACTGACACTAGATGGAGTAAAGCTGAATAAAACATTAAGAGCAATGAAAGAAAGAGGAAGGAGGAAAAGTTCCTGCATTTCACTAGCTGCAGACATGTTGATGTTTTGCATATTTGTTGTGAAGAATGCACTGAAAGCTGCTATTAATATTTTACTTGCTTTTCTTTGCAGGTCAAACATGGGATCAAGCCAGAACAGGTGTGTTTCTGTGTGCACGTGGGGCTGGAGACAATCTGCTCCACCATTTTTTTTTTTTACTGACACCCAGAGAGTTCAAGTCTATCCTGTGTGGGCTGTGACAAGCCATACAGCTGCCTCATTCTCCTGCATCCCAGCTACACAGCTGGGATTCCTCAGCATAAGGGATAGTGCAGGCTACCTACATTATGGCTTGACTGTGCTGCAGAGCAGCTCCACATGAGCAGCCACTGGAGCAATGAGCTCTTGGTGCTGCAGCAACAGTGGGGTACATGAGCTGTTTCCCACTGATGATGATGAGAAGGGGTCTGTGGAAACAGCCCTAAGGGCAACGATACAGTGCAATCCTCTCATCAGGATGCTGCCCTGAAGTGCATTGCATGCCCCTACCTAGCAGCAGAGGGGGAATTTAGAAGTCACATCACAGTCAAGATCCTTCATTCATTCTGTTAGCTCACTAAGGGAAAACAGGTACCTCCAAAGAGACAAAGATATCTCTAGGAAAGAAAAGAACAAGTGGGAAGGACTTCATGGATGCAATTACACTCCCAATAATAATTCTGTAGAAATCCTGTAATTTTTCTCTGTATAGCACCCACCTCAGTTTTTATAATGATGCTATAGATCATTTTTAGATAAACCAACACCAGAAAGTTAGCATTAACCTGTAACGTTGTCTTTTCTTTTTTTTCAGAGATGACACCAACACACCAGAACAGCAAAGTACAAATAAGCAATGATCCTTTTCCTATTGACAGTTACCCAGTCTGAGAATCAATGGATATCTCTTGCCCACAAACAGGAATCTCACTAGCAGTAATTCCTTTCTTTGTTCTTTAATTGAAAGACCAATTGATTGATTGATTACAGGATGAGCTTACAGTGCATGCTAACTTCCATCACCTGCACCACAAAGCCCGTAATCCCCAACAGCATGCACAAGAAGGAAACATAGGAGGAAAATAAACAAGATGAGCTCTGCTCATTAGCAGATCCTGTTTAGTCTGTGACAAGTGTATGATCGATTTCTAAAATCAGTTAAATTCAGGGTAAACGAAAAGCTAGCAACAGTACATTTCAGCTGCAGAATTCATAGTTGTGCTCATATTTCAAATGAGGTTGAATTATCTTAAAACTCATTCATTTGAGGTTGAAGTAAGATGGGAAAAATGATTTGTGTTAATTTGAAAACATTTCATTCACACTAAAGTTTTATTTTTTTAATTTTAGGATCAATATCTTTTGTTTAACTTTAGATGATAATGTTAATTACAGCTATTTTAAATGAACTGTGGTCAATTACAAACAAATGTTTTTCATGTTTTGCTTTTAGAAAATTGAAATTAAGATACTGTTGTATACCCAAAATAAAAACTTTCTAGACATCTGAAATGAAACGTTCCATTTCAGCTTTCTACAAACAAGCCAATCCACCACTTCCAAAATCCACCCATCTTCATTTTTTTTCAGTATAAAACAACGCACCAAATTCAATCTGAATTCATGAATAGTTTCAGTCTCTCACCCCCTTCATTCTTGTTCTAGCCTTGTATATTCTGTTCAATTTGTTTCCATCAGCTCTGCATTACTTGGTTCTAGTTACAGCCTTCTTACACATGACAAGAAGAAAGAAAGGCAACTGCTAGACTCAACTCCAGCCTGGAAAATCCGTATCTTATTAAAAAGCGTGACTTGAAAAACTCATGGATACCAACCCAGTAATTAACTTCCAGACTGTGAACAGCCACAGTCAGCCCTACGTGTTATAGACAGAGCTGATACCCTGAGTAGGGGCTCAGAGTCAAAACTGTCAGGAGCAGAAATATCAAAATTATGTTTCTATGAGGAAGTTATTTGCTAAATACTAATTGAAACTGAAATGATTTAGATGTATTTTTGTTCTGACCATAGCAAGTCAGGTAATGTTTCCAAATGTACAAAGGAAACCCTATTACTTGGATTGTAATTTTTTTGCATGTTTTGAACAAGAAAATGTAAGTTTTATTTCAGAGAAAAGTGATATATTAGAATAATCTCCTTGGGTTCCCTAGGTGTCTGTTACCCACTTCAGTTCCAGTGCAGTTCATTAGTAGCATTTGCTAATGGATAAACTGAATGTGATACTTGCTAGTAATTGTGTGCGTCTACATGTGTAAGTGAATAATCCACCTTGTAAGGTATCCATTAATTGATTTGCTTCCTTTAGTACCATTTTAATTAAGACTTGGAAAAGAAGAGAGCATGTGGTCAGGGAGGGAAGGTATTACCTTCCCTTATTTGTGTAAACAAACATTTCTTTTGCATCATTTTATTATTTGACAAGAAATAACGATGAAAATAAACAAACAAACAAAAAAGGATAAGTTACAAGCAGTAAGGGAGAAAGGCCTGGAGAATTACTTAATAATCTAGATCAGGCAAAGGCACTGGTCTGGAAAATACATAAATCTGGTCCGTGTGACGTAAGAGATGAGCCAGATTCAACTCCTCCCAAACAGAAAGGACGGCAAATTTGCTAACAATCAAAACAGTTAAAATCTGAATCTTCTTTGGTCTCTCATTCTCATGGCTATAAGTGAAGAATCAGAACATTTTAGTTAAGTATTGTTTTGTTTGTATTTTACAACCACACTTAAATAAATACAAAATAAGGTTATTACAAATACTTCCACTAGCTCTTCTCAAATGTATGATGACATAGACCAGGTATGAAATACCAAGTGCCTGCTAATGCAGAATCTAGAACCACAGAATCATTAAGATTGGAAAGGACCTCTAAGATCATCTAGTCCAACTACTGACACCATGCCCACTAACCATGTGCCTCAGTGCCGCATCTCCATGTTTCCTGAACACCTCCATGGACGGTGATTTCCTGAACACCTCCTCCACCTCCCTGGGCAGCCTGTGCCAGTGCATCACCACTCTTTCTGAGAAGAAATTTCCTAGGTCAGAATAAAAGTTCACCTTCTCCAGAAGCCTCTTTGCCACAGTGGCTAGTAACAAACGCCTGCACAAAGTCTAAGCCCAGCAAACACATGCCTCTACTTTCCTAGAAGATACTACTGGCCTCCAGCATGCTTCTGCTTAGCATCACTAAGCCAAAAGAGAGGTTGTCGAGTTTGATATCTTCAGATGAACTTACTTTCCGTAGTCAGAAGTAGTGGATTCCATAGAAAATATATCTACTAAAAAAATAGAGGCCTCACTCACTGTTACTACATTAGTGAATTTGCATGGTCCCTACTCCCACAGTGTGAAAGCAATTCCCATACTCCTAAGAAGACATGTTCACAATTTATAGAGAGGGGAAATGAGACATGGAGGTGCCAAAGTGCTGTGCCAAAGGCCAATGCAGCCTCAGCAGAGCAGAGAATACAGACATTTTCCAAGTCCAATGTGGGAGACCTAATTATTATTATGAGACCATCATTCTTCTTTACTGCTACCTCCAAGAAAAATACTGCTTTTGGAATGGTTAGATGTTAAGTATTTCACCTTATTGAATATTATTGGTCTTGATTCTCATATTTCAGGCTTTAAGCCATCGAATATCCCTATGCCTTCATTCACAGCTGTATCAAGCACTTACAGCAAAATCAGTGGTATTGCTCTGGGGTTGAATGCTGTGTGTAATAAAAACAAGCCCAAATGTTTCACAGGCAAACTGTGGTATAGTGTGCAGGTCTTGTCTTCTGCATTTAGTTATAAAAATATCTTCCCTCCTACAAGTCATGCAGTGCTTGCAGGAGGCCAGCAATGTTTCATCTGCATTCCTTACACTGCTGCTGGCAGCACTCTATCCTCATGCAGGAAATCCATAAAGCCTTTCACTTTACAGATCAGATTCCACTTATCGCTATCAGAAATCTTTCTAAGTCAATGAACAATTAAAATAATTACCTTTAATCATATTCTTCAATTACTCCACAGCAACAAGGGAAGACTCATAGGACTGGGACCAGATGCAAAGATACTCTGCTGTGATTAAAACTAGCTGAGTTGTTCCAATGACGATAAAATACAGACAATTCACCCCCTCTGGGAGAAACCCCTGTACGTTTTAAGCAGTTTCATATTTAAAGTCATTAGAGTGGCTCAAAGAAATGAATGGATACCTATGGGGACTCTTTCAAAAGAGGTGCCACTTTGAAAGGGATATAAAGCAGAAAACAGCTACTCAGAAGAAAAGGCTGCATATTCACAGGATGAGCAAAGCAGTTGTCAGTGCTGGGCAGGCTGGTTGATTAATCAATCTATCCTCATCCTCCAGGTATCTCCAGCATCTCTGCCTCTGGGGGCTTGCTGTCCCTACTCAGGCCTTTATATGAGACAGTACTGGTGGCTTTTTGTCCAGGGGGTAGTTGCAGGTTGGCAGAACAGTCAAGGGACTTAGCCTGGGAACACCAGGGGAATTGCTTTTGATAGCAAACTGATTACAGAAAGGAGAACTAAATATAAAAGAGACCTGACTGGTGTTGGGAAGGTACAGAAAGTGATTGCAGAAGAACAGACATAATACATGAACAACAATCACCTCAAGGGAGTGTTGTAACCAATTCAGAACCAACAGAGCAAGCAGACTGCCCCCCTCTAAGTTAAAATACATCGTGCTCTTGGGCTTGTAGAGAATAGCTGGAAGCTCTGATCTCTGCTGTAACATACAGGCTCAGAAACCAGGAAATCAACAGTAATATTAGTAACTAATAGTAGTAATAATAATTTAAAAAAACAACCAAACACAAAACTTCTAAATTGTCAGAGCTATTTTGTGCCTGCTAGCAGACATTTGAATTTTCAGAGTTGCAAACACAGGCTCAGTAAATGGCAGGCTCACACCAGCTTGCTACTGAGAGGCAGTCACTTCCCAGTGATACACACCAAGCCCAAAAAGTTTCTGTTGTACCAAGGGCAGAAGCACTTTTGGACTTAGCGTCCAAAATGTCTGTGCCTGGACAGACAGCCCACGCTGGGCTGAGAACCTGCAACTTGTTGCACAGTGTCCCACCTACGCTCATCTCTGCTTAGTGCTGGAGCTTGAACCACAGCAGCATCCCAGCAACACCCACTAAAACTGGGCAGTCCCAGAGCAAATGTCAAAGCCTTCTCTTCAAGGAGGATTCATGTGGTATAGCCACCAGCAGTCCCTAAGGCACATTTTGCTGAAGGGTTTAGAAGTGTATCACATTCAGAACTTGTCATGGCTACAACTGGTTTTAATTCTACTGTTGAGTTTAGCGGGAGCAAGACGAAGATATGACTGTACCATCCATGTAAGCCATAGATGTCTTCCCACCCTGACTAAGGAAAAATAAAAAACCTCATCTTGTGGTCTTGATTATTCATGAAGTAAGAACCAGTCATTGGCCTAGCAGCATGCGGCTTTTCAGGCACCTTCCTTGGGAATGTCACTGATCTGAAATGGGAAGGAACTAAGGGAGACTTGTCCTCAGTGGGACCAAAGAAAGCATCCACAGCTCAGGGTGAATCCAGAAGCAGAAACAAATCAGAATCAGGCTCAGATCAAATAACAGCTGCTAGTTCCCTGCTCCCAAGCTTTCCTACTGACTTATTTATTATCTCCTTCTGCGTAATTTGTCATAATCTCTGACTCGTCAGGCCAATTAATCATGCTTCAGAAAAAATGAGATTTCTCACAAGGAGATTATCTGTCTCTGACAAACAAGGGATAATTCAATTAGTTTCCTTTTCTAAACATTTATTAACTGGTTTTGGTAAATTAGTCCTTTTTGTAATTTAGCTATAATTTAGGAAGATTTAATATGTCATTAGGCACACCAAATTCTGTGTTAGTATAACATTATGGCTGAGATTTTAATTGCCCTAGAGTCAGGAACTGTATACATAAACGGCCTTATTCCCACATGGAAGCAGCTGATAGGAGGTGCACAGTGCTCTATAGAAATTCTCCTTAAAATCTCTTTTTCCATGAGTTAAGCACATGCTAAAGGACTCTGGAGAATAGGATGCTTTCTCTGATTTGGGTAAAAACTGTCAGAGAGAGAAATATTTGTGTATTTGTTAGCAGATCTTTTACGCTACACAGTTTCATAGTATACCTGGACTTCACTCCCGTAACAGTTCTCAAAGATGCTATTTCCCTAGAAAAATCCTAGTATCTAACCAGCAGCTGATGGTGACCTGCCAGCTGAGAATGTCTTCTGTTTCATTCTGGAGGAGAATGTAAAAAGGAGTTATGTTTTCTAGGCATTTTGGACTCTTCCAATAGATACGATTTAGTGGCATTAAAGAAGTCAACATCACTTCATACTGAGGGTAAAAATCAATCTCTTGCATGCTGGGGGAAATTAAAAGCAAATCAAAGTACCTGAGTCATGTGGGAATTATAAAGCATATGAGAAGAATCAGATCCAGTGTTAAAGCAGTGTTGATTAGTTTTTCACAGCAGGCTCACACTGACTTTCTCCAAACTGAAACTGTAGAGTCAGCTGAGGTGTATTCATCCCTGCACCGTGCAGGCTGCAGCCTGGCTGTGGCGTGGGTGCAGAGCTTCGCACCTGGTCGCTGGAGCTGCTGAACTCAGGGCACACCCACTGGGAATGTGCCCTCAGGACATCTTTACAGACAACACATTCGAAGGCAAGAACCCGCTATGAAGTGATGGGATTTCTGGAATCTTCCCTTCCAGAGAATTTTGGAACTCCATTCAAAGCAGCCTCCTCCCACCAACTTCTGACTAGGTCAGCCCCTGTCAGAACGTGGCAAAAGGGCAGAGGCCACCAAGACAGCTCCATTCCAGTCACTTTAATGAAGTCAGGAAGCTGGAAAATGGCCATTCTTCTCTACAGAGTGGATCCTGGTGCCTAAGAAGACACAAAAACCTGTTTGGAGATTTTTCCAAGGCTGGGATGTTCTCTCGATAACTCTTTATAGATTACCTAACTATAGCTTATTTAGCTAAAAAGCCATGTAAGCACACAACACAGATCTGTTCAGAACCAGACTTCAGTAGTTCTGCTGCACCCAAGACAAATTTGCTTACACTTGAAACACACAGAACACATGGTAGGAAAAGGGCCCATTCAGTCCATCCTATCAGGCTGCCATAGCCAATGTATTCCAATTCTGTGGTAAGCCACATTTAAGAAAACAGAGTTTTTTACTGCAGGCAGCTGCCTTTCTGACTCCTCAGTTGGAACAACTGGTACTCATTTGCAGCTGAGATGACCACAAGAAGCCCCAAAGCAGCATGATCTGATTCTCTACCTGCTTTGAAAATAGCCATTTCTAGCTCAACAAAGGAACATACACCCCTGGCAAAAAGCCAGACATTGTAACTGCTCTGCCATCACGTCCTCATTTAGGGAAAATAAAAACTTCTCTTAATTTTGTTTTATGCTTAACATACTCCAGGAGCCATTGGGTGGCATGCTGTGCACTAGCTTAAAGCCATAAATTTGTATTTGAAATAAACTGTATAAAACAGGCTTTCTTCATGTGTTGTTTCAAGTGGTAATAGAAGGCATGATTCTCAAGTGGTAATAGGAGGCACTCAGCTACACCAACAAAAACTGGGAGACTTCATGGAATTACTGCAGGAAAGAGTAATGCAGACAGAAGGAGCCCATATATTTTTTTTAATTTAAAATGTTCCTATATTTAACTACATCCCCAAACTCAATAATTATTACTACTAAGGGATCTATTAGGCAAGGACTGCTCTGGAGAAAGCCCAGCTCACCTCAGTGGGAATTGTGCCTGAGTAAACTTCCCATTGGAGCATGCAATACTCCTCATATACTCACACTCACAAGTATTAGCAGAACTCTGTATCTGAAAACTATTTCATTAACTCTCAAAGGTGTCATTAGCAGCAGGGGCAAAGCTTTAAAAACTGTCTGGACAAATTCTCTCTGTCCCTTTTTGGCCTGAGTAGAGTCCATTAATGCTCCACAAGCAACTGGACGAATGCACAGCCCTGGCCTACGGGGTGCATTAAGATCTCTTAACTTTTCTTCTCATCAATGCAACTCCAGGGCATAGAGAAGATAGGTGGAAAGGTAAATGCCCTGAGGAAAAAGTAGTGTTCACAGCACATGTGGGGCTGTGATGGATAGGAGATGTGCAGAAGGAAATGTTCAGCTTGACAGAGGTTTGTGCAGAGTAATACCAACAAGTTTGGACATCATATTTACAGTCTGTCAGTCTGCCAGGCTTGGCATTGTCTCAGGACAGCATACAGTACGGGGGAGAACTGAACCAGAAAACTATTCTGCACGAATTCAGAAAAGCATGAGTAAACTCTCTTCCAGTGAAAACAAACCTTGGAGAAGTCCTGCACAGTCTCCACAGCTACAAACAATTTTTGCTCTCAGAAGGATACTGGGCAGAAAGTCAATTTATTTCTGATAAAAGTTGGATACAAAATCGAGGTTTTTAATAGTCTTCAGTTAAGATAGCCAAGACTCTCACAATGGAAATGGATTGCATAAACTCACATCAGACCACAGAACATACAGGCAAGATGTTTTTAAGGCAAGAAAATAAAATGGATAAAAGGCAAAAGCGTTTGCAATTGCTCTAAGACTTGACAGTTGGATTCTTTTTCTGAAGAAGGGAGGAAGGTCCCTGATAAGAGAACATTTCTTCATCAGCATATAAGACATGCATACACACATAGTCAGAGGCAGATTAAGAAAAGACCCAGATATAAAATCTGTCAAAACATCTGGAATCTGCCAAGCAAAGGAAGTCACCCAGACTTGACTAAATCTTAAAGAGTGCAGACTGCTCTGATACAGCAGCCATGAGCATATATAAAAAACACTCTTAAGAAATCAAGACAGCTTGCACATGGATCTGCAAGCCCAAAACATCAGTACGTGACAGCACATGAGCCACAGCCATGCCCAGAGCACAAAACAATGTGAGAGTCACAGTTCTCAACGAGCTTTCAAGCAAGGCCTGGCAAGTTCAATGATGGCAACACCAACACTGTTACTCCTGCAGAAATATGGGTAGCATGGCTACAGACTGGGACTTGGCTGCCAACTGCAGGATGCTTACTGATTTTGTTGGTGATGTTGATCAATGAATGCTGGGAATGTTGTTCACACTACAGTGGTAACAAAATAAATCAAAGGCGAAACCCCAGTAAAGAACTATATGAATTAGATGTATGGATGTTTAGCCGGAAACAAGGTGATTTTCTAAGTCTGGGTGAAGAAGGAAAGTCTTACTGAAGATCTTAAAGTCTGAACAAGACAGAACATTCAAGGAGTGATTGAAACAACTAGAGAAGATTTAAAGGCACCTTTTAGGAAATTAGGAAGCTCCCAAAAAGTGCAGAACAGAGCAGAAGGGACACGATTGCCTCAAGACAGGCCTCCAGAAAAGCTTCTTTGGGAACAGGGGGAAGAAGAACCAACACGGCTGTTGAACATCTGTCTGGTTGCTGCAGAGAGAAAACACACAGAACTCCTGGAAAGACAGAAATTCCCTGAACACATGCTGATACAACAGAAATCATAGTATTGCTCAGGGAATTATCATTTATAAATTTAAATTTTAAATGTGCTTTTGCACATTTTATTAATCCATAGAATGTGCAGCATTTAAAAAAGGAAATATCCTAGCTAGAAAGAACTACAGATGTAAGTAATTAGTGGCACATTGCTCACATTTCATCGTAAAACAGATGTGTGTATTATTTTAATTACAATGACTAATATAACATATGCCTTTTATATATAATGTTTTCTGTGAGTCAGTCCTTTAACTATGTTTTAGTTTTATTTACTTTCCTAAGTTCAGCGTTGGAGAAGGAAAGTATAGTTTTTACATGCTAACTGTTCAAAAAACCAGAAAAAGTCTGTGCATTATTGGAAACCTGTATTTTGGAGGTACACATTTGCAACTGCTAAGAGGAATGTTATGATCTCTGGCTTCACTCAAATTACTTCTTAATGATATTTCCTTATCCTGGGGATAGGCCACAAACAATTACGGAACATTTTGGAGCCCACATTGTGCGCTGTGACTTTTAAAAGATAGTATCACGCTTCCCTTTTTCCCCTACAATCTCTTTCTTTAGAGTGATGTTCAAAGATATTCCTTTTTGAAAACCACTTATGTGTGCCAGGGCCCATATTATGGTTATTTGTATTGGTCATTTTACACTGCAGCTAACTTTTCAGTTAAATCATTAACTGCTTTTGCACCAGCAGTCAGAGAGGAGTCTCTTCAAAATATAAATAAATCAGACCATAGAATCATGGCAGACATTCAGTAAGCTACTAACAAATTTCATGAGTCAACCAGGCAGAATTCAGGTGCTTTCACTTACCTTCCTTCTTTAATACTAGAAGTTCTGCAGGTTCAGACATGACTTTGTGTATAAGATCAGCATGATGTGCGTTGTGAATCCCAGCGAAGAAGCCGAATCCTGCCCCTCTCTGGTTGTGTCTGCATGGCCACGCAGGCACACACACACAGTCACACTTTTGAAATGTAATCCCACAAACTCACAGAATGCCACAGTGAGGTATTGGCTATATTTACCTTATCCTAGCCAAGGAAATATTAATTTGGAGAGCCTAAAGTATTTTAACCAAAAAATGATGCATGTATATAGGCATTATATGTTTCACCCTCTGACACTCTTCTATTTTCTCCTGTCAGATCCACAAAATAAAAAAGATTATGAAGTACAGTCATGGACCATTTTATCAAATATGTTGTAAATCACTATGGTGGCAAATCAGCAAATGGCACTCTTCTGTCCCCAGATTCTCAAATGTCAGCAAATGCCTTCATCCTGCTGCGAAAACTACCAGTCAACAGAGATGTAAGGCTATGGATAACTACTAGCCTATGTGCATGAGCTCAAG